CACCTTTTTACCTTTGAAGATCGAAAATTCTAAAACGAAGCATTGGCGAACATTATGTACATTAAAGCAACTTTCTAGAAAATTCTATAACTTTCTTTTTCACAATTATTGCAATAAAAAAAAAGAGGGCCTTAATCGAGATAAAAACTATCCTACCTTTTAAGTTGGAACAAATTACACACAGTGTAAAAAATATCGGTTTAGTAATAGTTTTGGAGTTCATCCCGGACAAACATCGTGACACGGAATTTKTATGTAAATATACAATTATTAATAAAAACGTAATTACTTGGTCAAAAARTTTGAAAAATTATTAGAAAGTTCCTCATAAGCTGTACTTGCAGATATATAAAAATATATATGTGCATTTGAATCTAAAATTTTGATCAAATTTGCCAAAAGTCATAATTRATTTRAATTACTTTTAATTTTTGAATCTAAACAATTTTTTATTTTCCTATAGTAACATCGTGCAATCTTTTATAATATCCTCGATTATTATACGTAAAACTTTCGAAATCACAATTAAATTTTAATTTATTTTTATTTTTTTTCAAATATCGCCTAGCTCCTTGGTTTTTCATATATATTCAATATTCATTACTTATTTCAATTTTCAATAATGGAGAAAATAACGCGTTACCTGATGGCTCATAGAAATTACTAACACTTATTTATAATTTACGTTACACAAATCAACTGGTCTTCTTTTAGGTTGGCTATGTGGAAATTTAATTATTTATTTTATTGTATACACCTAATAATATGATCGTAATGAGCGTTGGAAAAGAAAACATCGCGTAACGATTTGTTTTWTACTCGGTTTATTGTGACGTTGTAGAAACATGCGACTGATCAGTGCTCATTAACAGGGACGTATGTGTTTTTGTTGGCCGTCAAACGAATAGTCATACTGCCGCGTGCCGCCGAAACCCCGCGATGTTCCCCCTGGGGCCCTGGTACGTTGGACTCTGTAAAACTAGTTGTTTTTAGGGCATTTAATTTTATTATTATCATCAAACCATTTTATTTTATTTATTGTTGTATTTATTTTTTTTTATTATAATATTCTTTTTTCTTTATGCTTAATTCATTTTTGTATTATAAATGTATAACCATAGTAACCGTACATTTTAAACGGTATAAAATTAAAACTCTTTAATCAAGTAAATACACATTTTAAATCGCACACAAAACTTAGACTTGACTTATCCGATTTTTCCGTTTGAAAATTGAATATTATTATCATATAAAATGGAGAAATTCAAAATAATAAATAATAATAAAGAGATAATAATATAGTCAATGCCGGCAACGAGGAATGAGTACCTAAAAAGTATGATAAAATTAATATACACACAGCTAATTGAGCTAAAATGCAAAGACCAAATATGAGAAGGTTCTGGGAATTTTAAATTTTTACCTGTAGTTCTAACTAGATTCGCTTTGCTACTAGAAAACAAGTACGCACACACATATAAAAAAATTTCATAAAATTTGTCAAATCAATACATCTTCGATCATAACACCCAATTATAGTGGTCGACAATCGACTTACAAATACAAAATATTACCGATGTAAWTATAATAAATGTAGGTAACCTGAGTTAAGTAGCCACAGCCATCTAGGTGCCAATCCGCATATAATATACAACGAACAGTACTCAAAGCATAGATAATAGAAGAGTCTTAATAGAAGTCTTCTAATATCTATGACTCGAAATTATAATGGATAAGGTTTTCAAAATCATAAATATTAAATTATCATGCGATGTAGTCATATCATAGACCTTATACTAGTCATATAGACTCATATATAGAGTCATAGATTATRGATATTACCTTATAACATCTATGTATAGAATAGTCACCGCCTTTGTACCCACTCGACTAATGGTACAATGTTTTTCGTTCGACTAAAATCATATACCCATAAGAAACTCTACTCATAGACCCATCCGATACTAAATTTATTGATAGTAGCATGCCAACATGGCGCAGTGGTGCAGCCGTTTAATACATATATGTATATATATATATATTATGTATATTGTACTTATCAGAATAACTCTGTAACCGAAAAGCGCCATCTATCTTGACACGGTGTAAACATGAAGAAAATGAGTAAAAGGCATAGACCTTATATTATATATTATGAGTATAAGGTCTATGGTAAAAGGTCATATTCAAGAATATCATTTTTGTATAATATATAATATATACATACATACAATACAATTTTCATGCGATAAAGTTGATCGAGATTTCAATTTTCAAGAATAAATTGGTCAGAACAGAAATATACGAAACTGAGTCGATAGTACCAGGGTCGCATATGGTATTCGCCCTCGGCTTCTCGTTCAGTTTTATATCGTCGAAACGCGATGAGCATCGACCACGGCGGCGACAGCATAGTATCTACTCGTACAACAACCATCACGGCCATAGCATACGCTCCTGGTCCTGGTAGATGTATAATAATCTTTCTCGCTAACGGTGAATGTTAATTATTTTATTAATATTTTTGATCATAAAACAATATAGATAATATACTTATATTATCAGTTTAATTATAAATTATAATATTATTGTATTATTTATAACATGATATAATTATTTATTACAAAATAACATAACAATCTTGTTTTTTAATAATTACTCAAAGTACATAATATAGGTAGATGTTGTCCATTTCATGAAATGTATATTCATATACATTGTATTTCCGTCAAAGTTCACAATCTGGACGAATTTCACAATCTGTATTTCCAATTCATGATATATAAATATATTTGGTATCGGACTATTGATCTATTGAATATACTTAAATTTATATATATAAATAATATATTATATATGTATATAATCACATACTTTCAATTATTAGTAGAGTGTTTTTATAAAAATATATATAATAATTAATGTATAATATTTTTTTTCCTAATTTTTTTACGTACTCGTTGGAAATAAAAAAAATCACGTCATTGCATAATTTATTAACACATTCCATTCTTCGATCAGAATCAAAAACAATTTCGTACACGCTCGTTTATTGCGGCCTATCTGCAATATAATATTACATTATATTATATTCGTAATTTATAGACACCGAAGAAATTATAACAAAAGGACAAGACATGATGACTATATCACTATATTATTTTCGAACATTATTTCGCTTTAAAACGTCAGTCGATAACAAAATAAATATGTTCAAATAATTCGTAGGTATTGCTGTATTAGTACTTTTTCTGTGTGGTATCGCATCGCAACTGAGTTCGGATAGGATAACTAGTATTTACTAGTTTACCTTTAACACYGCAATGCTCACCACGAAACTATTAAATCCACCTCAGTATTAACATAGGCAGTGTTTTTACTGAGCCCCAAATGATTTTGACAAGTTAAGCCCTCTTAAGCTATTAACATTTAATAAGTTATTTTGTTCAGTACATCAAGAGCCAAAAATGTAGGTATGTGACTACAATATATTGCAAATTAGAGGCTTATTGATTTGTTATAGTGAAAAGGTAATGAATTATATAGTCTCAATATGAATATTAATAAATTGTAATTAATATGTACACATATGTATTCAGTTTATAAAAATAATAATAAATTATACACATTATTTTAATTATTAGTTTAAATAAGTGAAATTAACAATTCAGACTTGAATCTTGCACGCAAACATTGAAAAGGTTATTTAAAAAAAAAATCTTAAAAGTAACAAAGCTCTAACGTCCACAAATATATTAATTAGGATGAATAATATCATAATCAAAGTTCCTATGTAGAGTTTTTAAATTAAACAGATAAATAAGCAAATCATAAAAGTAATCAATGTCCCCACCTCAAATGCGCCACTGATTTGTGTATATTAATTATTATATTAATATACTATAATTGTGGTTAAAGTATGAATAAAAAAATACAATAAAATAGTGATAAAAAATATTTAAACATTTTATTAAAAAATAAAAACTATGCAAAATTTAATGGGATGGGGCAGTCTCTACAACCTTAATACAAAAATATTATTTAATTTTAACTTAAAAATAATGATAAAATACAATGTATTTTAGTTTTAGCATCAAAACAAGTTATAAAATCATTAAATACAATAAAAATTAGTTTATCATTGTGTTATTCTTGATATAAATTAACAATTATAATATATCTATATTATATTATTAATAAAGTAAAAATCCTTTAGCTCAATTTAAGGTTGGGTTCTCATGATTGCAATACTTTCAAAGAACGTCAAGTGGGTTTGTCATCCTATATGAAATTTTCAACAACTGGCATATTTGTTTATTTGTTAAGTACATTAAAAAGTATAGTATTTGCTATTCTTTTTTTTAACKTGTGCTATATATTCTGGAAATGCACCAGTCACAAATACATWTTTGTATAGGTGTACCWTTTGCATGGTATGTTAAAAATCTAAAATGCCACATTTTGACAAGAATATGATTCATGAGAACCTGGCTTAAGCTAAATAACTAAAATAAGGAATTGAAACAGTCTCTACATTACAAATTAGGGTTAACATATTATGTTGGCAGTTTTCTTTAGTTAGAACTGGAAGAGTTTATAATACTTAAAATTAATTATATACTGATATAATGACTTAAGACTCATAAAAATAGATGGAACATTTGTTTTGAAGACTGGGATGCATGGTCATACCAAACGGATTATGAGAGATAGCTCAAGTTTTATCATAAAAGTGTGAAAAATATAAGTACCATTCCGAGGATAGAAGGTCCTCGAGAGTGATCCTTCAAAATATTAATTAGACCGAGATTCTCGTAATAAGCTAGCACGCGTTATCATACTTAATGTACCTATTATATTATATATATATATATTATATATACCCTTACCAGTATGTTTTTACAAAATAATAATAAATGAGATGAAACATTATAAAATTTTAATTTTAAATATTTAACATAGATATGTAGTATATTATAATATAATGGTATTAATGGTAATAAGAATAACTACATTAAAAAGTAATTTTTTTTGTCCTCAGCTGTTTAAAATCTACAGCATATCGTCTTCATCATCCTCATCTTCCATGTACCATTTGTACCATTAAGCAGTCCCATTCATCGGYTTGAATTTGCTGTTAAAAATAAAAATAATAATATMATTTAGAAAAATTACAATATATCAACATGCAATAAAGGATAAAATAATGGAAGAATTAAATTAAGGCATCCCCCTAATTTCATATTTAAATACTAATATGAATAAAGTAATTATTTCAATAAAATAAATACCTAACCAGAATAATAAATTAACATAATACATAAAAATGTACAACCAAAAATATGGTAGATAATGGTACATAAAGTAGAAGTTATCAAAATAATACTTGTTTTAACATTAGTAGATCTTACCAAAAGTGTGAAAATGGGCAACTGATAATAATTCAGAACCGCTTTTAATATGTGTTGAAATTCCTTCTTCGTCTGGTTTTGTTCCGTTACCTTGATTATCTGTATTAAGATATAGCCGCATTCCCTTGTAATGTCCTCTAATCTCTAGATTCCATATACCTAGGCACCAAATATAGAAATAAATATAATTATATTCAATGGTGATGAATATTAAAGTTTTTAACAGTTTAGGATTGAAGGAGGTCAACAACATTTTCAGGTAATTTATAAGATTATTATTCGTTAATTATTCTAGCATATACATTTTTTWAAATGATTTGTCTATGAAATATAAACAGGCATTGTGTATGTCATGATTGTACTAATGTACCAAAGCAGAATTAACCAAGCTATTTTTGGCAAAGATAGTTCAATAATAACACAATTTAACAACTTGGAAACATTTACAAATACTGAAAATACTTTAATATTAATTAAGTATTATCTACATAGATCAAAGCAAAATACATAATGTAGTTAATTTTCTTCTATTTCTTCGCTCTTCACTCCTAACTATATATCTGATCAGCCACCCTTACCCAACACTTCCAGATTGCTTTGTCCACCACCTCTATTTTATGCAACCAAACACTTTTATACCATTCTGTATTTCTTATTCTTATATGTATTTCTTATATCTTCGCTCTAACTTTTTTAAAATATTTATTTTTATAAGYCAACTCATCTCTTCTCACAACACATTCAAACCATCTCAATCTATTCTCCTTCATTTTTTCTACAAATTCTGCCACTCCTACGCTATGATTAATGAATTTATTATTTATATTTTTTCTCAGTCATTTCAAACTGAGTTATATTAACCTTAACATTCTCATCTCTGATATACATAACTCCATGTTCTATTTTATTGTCCATTATCTGAAACTGCAATCCATACGACATGCCTAGCCTAGAAACGGTTTTAAAACATGTATATTAATATCTCATATTCTTATCATACGAAATATCTGACAATTTTCTTCACTTCATCTATTTAAATATAATATAGTACCTACATATAATATGTTATGCTTAATCCTCAAGACCATMGTTTTTGCCTTTTTGGTAACACCAATCCTAAATATCTGAATCTAATCACTTTAGATATCTCATTATCACATGCCTTGTTCAATCAATTTATTTTTATTCAAATTTATTCTTATCCCCATCCCCTTAAGCGTAAGTTGTATTGCCAAGCTTTTGTTCACTTCTTCTACTTGGCTTTCTCCCACAAAATAAATTATGTTATAAAAAAAAAAAAAACACAATTACATAATAGGTATCTTTCAGTATGAAAATGAATTATGATAAAATAATTTTTTTTTGAGTTAAGAACCTAAGGAATCCAAATTAATTTATTAATAAAAATGGAAAACATTCTAAGTATGTATAATTTACTAAATTTAGTCAGGTTTTTAAGTCTAAATTGATCAAGTATTACCATCCTTCAATTCCCTTAATAACCGTTGAACAGTTCAACATCATTACAATAGTTACTTATTTACTTTTGCCAAAGGAGTCCAAGCCACATTTTCTGTATTTCTGTTGTCATCATTTTTATGTATAATAAAAATAATTTTATAGATCTAATAGTGTATTGTCATTATTCATAATTTCATCAATAACGAAAAATTCTTCGTCTGATTGATAATAGTTCCTTTTTTCTGCATTCTGCACACGGTGATACCCCAGTTCTCCCGGAGTGATAAGAGTGGTTATGCGGCGGTTACCCTGTGGTTACCATGTGACCAACTTTACTTGAGGTGGTGTTGCACCAAGGTTTATGGAATATAGAAAAGCAAGTCGAGGGATATTTTCGATCAGCTGAGCGGAGCGACGGCGCCGAGGAGCATAGCGACTAGTGCCGCTAGCATGGCATCACTGACGTAACTTATTTCGTTTTGGTATCACTGCTAGATCCCTGGTATATGCTTTATCACACTCCGAGAGAACAGTACTATTAGGTACCCTCTGCACACCACTGATATCATTTATGTTTAGTACCTTCCACGATATAATAAACTATAATTAAATCATGTAAAGAAAATACCAATCTTAATAACTGGTACTATTTTCAAGTATCTACGACTTATACTTTTTGGATAATAACAAATATTTAAAATCGTTTGAGGATAAATCGTTATCGTTACGCTATTTCGTAAAAATTTTAAATTCAACCGCACTTAATATTTTTCCTATAATGATGCTTGAGTTTTCTCTATAGCTACTTGTTGAAAAACTTATGGAAATCTTAGTGTTGTATTTTTAATCCTTAGTTATAAACTCAAACAAATTTATGATTTTTCAACTTCAAAATTATTTCCGAATTTTCGACTGATTTCGTCGATATGTTGATATGTAAACGATATGTTTTTTATGTTATTTAGATACAAAGAAATATCAATTTAAATATTGTAAAAATTATCTATCTTCATGCCAACGGCCATACCACGTTGAATACACCAGTTCTCGTCCGATCACTGAAGTTAAGCAACGTCGGGCGTAGTTAGTACTTGGATGGGTGACCGCTTGGGAACACTACGTGCCGTTGGCTTTTTTTTTTTTAATTTTCATATTATTTTTTTATTATAACTTATAAGGTTATTGATAATGAATCCGTAATTATTTTGCGTAAGTATTTAAATACTAAAATTATACAAACCATTCGTTTTTATTTTTTTTATTTACTATAAACACAAACATTGTATAATATTGTTTAATTTATCTTGTGATTCATGATTTGACAATTATTTTTCTCTATCAGCTTAACTATATAACTTCAATTAATCTGTTTTAGCTATTAATTTTATGAAGCTAGGTAGATAATTTATATTTGTATTTAACTTAATTCTTATTTGTCTATGTTTTCGATATTAAAACGCGTTAAGGTGTCAGTGTTGTGTGTAGTTCACACACACACACAAATCTTCTTTTACACTTGTACACATTGATATGACCTGAATATACCCGCCATATAATTTGCCTAATTCTTACTCCTTATAAAATTAACGACTGGAACCCCCTTACCTATATTATGTGTGTTTATTATTTATGATTTTATGAAGTAATATGAAATAATATAAATTCATAAATATTTACTCAATATTTTTTTTTTTTTACTCCCCAACTCAATAATTATAACTTGACCATAAAACATCCTGTAACATATCATTATCCTCAAAATTAAAAAAAAAAAAATTATCATATCATATCCATTAATTTTGAAACTTAAATATAGGTAAAATTCTAGTATAATTTTCTAACAATTATAAATATATATGAATTGTTGAGCAATTTTTTGAATAAAAATATGTGATTTTTCATTATTTTAAATTTTAATAAAAGCAAAAATCTTTTGGTAGGTTGCATTGATGTTTTTTTATTCTTTTGGTGTTTTAGAACACTTATGTGTATGATACAAAAAGTGTATTGATCTTCAACTTTTAATGAGAGTTTTGTTATCAAATTTCAAATTTTATCTAGTTGATAATTTTTGTAAAAAAAAAACAAAATAAATATCAATGAATTGGATCTTTATAAGATATTGAATAATGATTAGTAATAAACATTCAAACCTTTAATTTAATTTAATTTTTTTTTTTCTATGAATGCCAACAAAAACATATTGTACATGAGGTATTTATACTGTGCGTCCAAGGAGTGTCAAGAGTATTTTTCAGAGTAGCTGTGGTTCAATGGTTCAAAAGAGAAAAGAATTTTATATGACAATTTAAGTATATATTGTTTTAACTTTAAACACATTATATTTAATTTCAGTCTCCTATGCATAGTTATCAATTTATCATTATGTATTTTAGTATTTATGTTGTTTAAAAATTTAACTTTATGAAGCATAGACAAGTTGAGCATATATATAAAATAGTGTAGCAATATATTATTAATTTGAGCCACCAAAATATTAGAAAGCTATGGAATTTAATAATTTGATAACCTCTGCTA